TCTGGGTTGGACCCTGGGCATGCATACCTGAACACAGAGCCAGCAGCAGCTCTGAGTACTGCCATGTGCGGTCCCTAAACCAAAATAAATAAATAAAAGAAAGCACATCAGTTGCTGTGGGCTGGAGCGATAGCACAGCGGTAGGGCGTTTGCCTTGCACGCAGCCAACATGGCCGACCCGAGTTCGATTCCTTCGCCCCTCTCGGAGAGCCCAGCAAGCTACCGAGAGTCTCTCGCCCGCACGGCAGAGCCTGGCAAGCTCCCCGTGATGTATTCGATATGCCAAACACAATAACAACAAAGTCTCCAATGGAAACCTTACTGGGCCCGCTCGAGCAAATTGATGAACAACGGGAGGACCGTGACCGTGACATCAGTTTCTGCGCATGCACCCAGGGCCTCCCATCACTGAATGCCATCACCTCACTCACGCCCACCCGCCCCCTTCCTGGAATCGGAAACAGAGGGTTTGTGTTTGTGTGTGTGTGTGTGTGTGTGTGTGGTGGTGGAAGCGGCGTGTGTGTATGCATTCAGGGGTCACTCCTGGCAGGGCTCCGGGGGCCATTATGTGGTGCTGGGGATCAAACCAGAGTCAGGAGCATGCAAGGCAAGCCAGTGCCTTAGCCGCTGGACTAGGGCTCTGCCCTTGACTTCCTTAGGGTTCTATCACCTAAGTGTGAGGCAGACGGGCTAAAGTTGGAGGCTGCCTCCTCCCCCCAGACAGGTCTCTGAAGTGTGTTTTACCCTGTAGCTCCTCCCTGCCTCATTCCCTCTCCTTTCTAATTCCCCGTGGAAATGATGTCTGAGGAGAGCAAGCCAGGTCCGGCGGCCGGTGGACTGAGGCATTCCTGCAGGTTCCTGGACTGGCCTGGGCCCCTCCTGCAAGTGGACCTCTAGTCAGGAGTCACACAAACAGGAAGGTGCCAGCCTTTAAGATGCGAACACAGACTCCCCAGGCTGAAAGCAGGCTCCTCTGAGACCCACAACTTCCCAGTTATTGCTTCTGCTTGAAACACTTTGATTCTCTTGCTTTGAGGCCATCGTTTTTTCTCCTCTCCTTGTTGCCTTATGCATACATCTAGCGAATCTGGTCCAAACAATGGGTAGACAGGAAACAAAGGGAAAAAGGGTTTTTCTTGGGAAGAAAATAGAAAGGACCGCCAGCCTCTGCATGGCCGGTCCATGATCTGTAAGCAAGCAGCTGACTATCTGTTACAGTGCAGTGTTTTTCAAGCTCCAAGTTCAACCCACGTAGCACTGTAGCACTGTCCTCCCATTGGATTTGCTCGAGCGGGCACCAGTAACGTCTCACAACAAATTGTGGGACTTGTTGTTACTGGTTTTTTTTTTTGGCATATTGAATACGTCACGGGGAGCTTGCCAGGCTTTGCCGTGTGGGCGAGATACTCTCAGTAGTTTGCCGGGCTTGAGAGTATGGAGGAACTGAACCCAGGTCGGCCATGTGCAAGGCAAACGCCCTACCCGCTGTGATATCGCTCCAGTCCCCGGAAGCAAGTACTTTTTAAAACTTTCATTTCATTGAAAACTTCTATTATCGTTACTTCTAAATAGTCCTTAGCATGTATTTTTCTTTAAGAAAGGAGGTTACGGGGCCAGAGAGCTAGTACAGCAGGTAGGGTGTTTGCCTTGTATGCACCTGACACAGGTTCGAATCCCAGCACACAGATGGTTCGCAGAGCCCCAGCAGGAGTGATCCCTGAGCACAGAGCCAGAAGTAAGCCCTGAGCACTGCTGGGTGTGACCCCCAAAAAAACAAAAAAGAAAAATGAAACAAAGAAAGTCATGTGCAGTCACCATCAGTATAGAGATAGATGATAGCAAAGCAAAAAAAAAAACAAAACAAAACAAAACACCAAAAAACCAATGAACTGGGTAATAAACGTTTAACTTGATAAGATTTTTCTCTAATAGAGCAAGAAAAGCCACACTCCTTCCCCCTCCCATCTGCTCGACCACCATAGCCTGGCCAAACCCTGACTTCGAAGCAGCCCCCTTTAGACACTGGATAAAAAACAGCTTTGCAGAGAGACGGACTTGCTCTGGGGCAAGTCATTGAACACAAGTTTCCTTACGTGAACCTGAGGATAATAGGGGCCTTCTGAGGCTGCTGAGGGCCTTCAATGAGATAATAGCTATAAAGTGTCACACAGAAAATGTGTAACAAATGTCTGTCTCTTGCACTCCCTCTTGCCCGCCAAGCTGTATCAATTTTCCTTGAAATATGTGGACTTCAAAAACTCAAGCCATTGAAAATCAAAAGTTCAACTAGAGGACATCAAAAATTCTGAATTTTCATCTTATCCCGTGCAGAAGAACCTTTTTCTGACACACAGTCCATGTGAATTTAGACACACAGCAGACTGCAACAAACGTCCAGAACCAGCCTCCAGCCACAGCAGCGCCTCATCAGCCTTTCCTATGCGGACCTCTCCCACCTCGAGGCTTGGGCCCTGATTTATTCAACGGGGCAGCAAGGGCAAAAAAGAGCCCAGCCCTAGTTTGACCCGTTGGGAACTGAGGCCCTGAGTGACGTCCCCCGTTCACTGAGCCAGCTGACAGCGCAGGCCATCGGCACCAGCCTCGAGCACTGGTCGAAGTAAAATGCCTGTGAAAGCCAGACAGTAGAAGCGCGGAGAGTGAAGATGGTTCTGGAGTGTGAGTCGCAGGTCCAATAAACGTGTGGGAGGTGCTGTGTGCTCCACGGATGGGAAACATCATGGAATCACGTGTGACTGAATGCCACCTGTCAAGTCCATCTGTAAGTCCATCAAGGCACACCCCTGGACTAGACCTGCCCCATAGCTGACCAGTCCAGCGATACTTTTTAAAAAAAAAAAAACCAAAGTCACCAGGATTGGAGAGTGAGGACTAGAGGGTGCAGTGCTTGCCTTGCATGTGGCCAATGCTGGTTTGGACCCCAAACCCCACTTATGACTCCCTGAACCGTACCAGCCGTGGTCCCTGGGCACAGAAGCTTGAGCACTGCCCAGGGAAGCCCCCACATTAATGAAACAAAATAAAACAATTAAAAAAAATCGCTGGAGCGATAGCACAGCGGGTAGGGCGTTCGCCTTACAAGCGGCCAACATGGCTGACCCGAGTTCGATTCCTCCGCCCCTCTCGGAGAGCCCGGCAAGCTACCGAGAGTATTCGATATGCCAGACACAGTAACAACAAAGTCTCCAATGGAGACGTTACTGGGCCCGCTCGAGCAAAACAATTAAACAAAAGATTAAAAAAAAAAAGCAAATGCAATCACTCAGGACTGAGATAAATGCCCATATCACAAATCCAGAGTGTCGCTTCCAACTGTCTGCCACCTGGGTGGCACTCACACTGATTCAGGGACCATTCTCCAAGCTGGCCCTTTCTGGCCTGTGCAAATACAGTGTCACAGGTGAGCTGTTTCCTGGGCGAGGAAGCACTCCTGGCTGTGTCACACGGGCGTCTGTGTGTGTCTGTAGAGCGCCAGGAAAACACGGAGACCAGAACACGTTAAGGACAATGAGGCTGGCCTGACAAGTATCATGTCTCCCGCTAGGGAGGATTTTGTAGCAGGTCACGTCGAACACTCCTCCAAGCTCTTTACCAAAGGAGGAAAAATTCATCCTTTAACTGTTCCTGGGAGCACTTCTGGCAGAAGAATATTCTAGCACGCTTCTGATACACACCACCAGAGCATTCCCATGCTTCCCCTAGAACCACTTCCTTATAGCTCCTGGGGCTGGGATGGGGACAGGAGGAGCACTGACGAGGCTGCAGAGAAAAGAGGCTCTAAGCTCCTCCACGGCACCCCCGGCCAATTTTCCCCACTTGAGAGGTTTGTTTTGGTGGCAAAACAGATAGAAACCTCTAAGAGGAACACTCTTCCTTTGTCTACATAGAAATCATCCCGTGTGACGCTCTTGAAAACAAAATTTCAACTAATCTCCCAAACATCTCGAGCGCAAAAAGGATTCGAGACCAAACGCTGCGGGAAGACCAACGGCACCCAATATTTTATGATTCTATTCCTGCATGATAGAAAGGAAAAAAAGCCCCACGGATCTGTCCAGGAACAAGAACAAAGTGAGTCTTATGAAAATAGAGAGTGTTGGGGCTGAAGCAATAGCACAGCGGGTAGGGCGTTTGCCTTGCACGCGGCCAACCCAGGTTCGATTCCCAGCATCCCATATGGTCCTCTGCGCACCGCCAGGGGTGATTCCTGAGTGCAGAGCCAGGAGTAACCTCTGTGCATCACTGGGTGTGACCCCCAAAAAGCAAAAAAATAAAATAAAAAGGGGTAACAGATCTGAGCTGGAGTGATAGCACATAGCACAGTGGGTGGGGCATTTGCCTTGCACGTGGCCGACCCGGGTTCGATCCCCAGCATCCCAAATGGTCCCCTGAGCACCGCCAGGAGTAACTCCTGAGTGCAGAGCCAGGAGTAACCCCTGTGCATCGTCGGGCGTGACCCAAAAAGCAAAAAAAAATAAAGAAAGTAGAAAACAGAGGGTGTCTCCCGCGCCCCAAGGTCAAGATCCCCCCTCCCCCGCCACACTCCGGCCCCCGCACCAGGGAGAACCGCTGAGGCCGGGCGGGCCCCTTCCCGGGCGCTCGGTGCGCCCTGCCCTTGCGGGTGACGCGTGTTGGCAGCGGGCCGGGGCGCGCACGCGGACGCGCGTAGGGGACGCGGGGGAGGGGCGGGTCCCTGCCTGGGTCCCCGCTGCGGCCCGATCCCGGGGAGGGGCCGGTCCTGAAGGGTGATGGACCACCCCCCGCCGCCTCCTGGAGTCCTCCCCGGGGAGGACTGCAAAGGACCGTTCCGGCTGCAAAGGCGCGGCTGTCAGGCCCCGGAACGAGCGCGCGACGGTCCGGGCCGCCCGCAGGCCCCGCGCCCCGGCCAGGGGGTCCCCCAGGGCGCGGGGGTCCCGCGGTCCCCGCAGCGCGCGCACCCGGCCAGCCCCGGCGTCCTGCGCCGGGTCCGCCCGCGGCCTTACCTGGTGGCTGCGGAACCACGCGCCGGACAGGGAGCCGTTGGCAGCGCCCGGCGCCCCGTACGTGAAATTGCGCGCCAGGCCGTCCAGGGCGACCGCCACGGGGTCCTCGGAGCCCCCCGGGGCCCGCGCCGCCATCCGCCCCCGCTCCCGCCGCCCGCAGGAGGTGCCCAGGGCCGCACCGGCCACTTCCTGCTCGCTGCCCGGGCACCTGGCCACGCCCCGCCCGGCCCCGCCCCGCCCGCCCCGCACACCTGCTCGGCCCGGGGCGCAGGCCCCGCCCCCCCGCACACCTGCGCCGCCCCTCGCCTCTGTTCCACCCGGCACCTGTCAAGTCGGGCGCCTGGCCACGCCCCTTTCCCGACCCCTCCCCGCACACCTCTGCCCGGCCGGCACCTGCCAGGCCTCTGGGTCCTTGCCTCACCCCTACCACCTGCCCCTCACCTCTTCCCGACCCAGAGCCGCACACCTGCCTGGCTCCGCCGGCGCTTGGCCCCGCCCCCGAGCGCCTGCCTGGCTCCGCCCCCCGCCGCGCCAGGTGCCGCTCTCCGCACCTGTTGAAGGCATCCCCCCCAAACCCAGCCAGGTGTGCCCTCCAGCCCCTGGCGCCTAGTTGGGTACAGAAGGAACTGGAGGAAAAGGAGCCACGGGCTTCCCCCGCCCCACCGTCTCCCTTCGTGCAGTCTGACCTGGCAGTGCCCAGGGTCTGGCCTGAGCAGCACCTGTCACCACTGGGGGCCCGGGGAGACTCGGGGGGTACCTACTCCCCGAGATTCTGCGCAATGCGTGGTCCAAAAGAGGAGGCGCTGAGCAGGCCCAGCAGCCCTGGCGTTCACCAGAGCCACACCTGGAAGCGGGGGCCCCGAGGTTCAAGGGGTCGCACTCCCCATCCTTGAGCGTCTGGCCTCCGCCGACCTCTTCCCTGCACCCTCACTTGGAAAAACTGGGTCTGAAAAAGTCTTGGGTGGAGAAGTGTTGGGGGCTCCGTGGGGCTCCAGCGGGATCCCGTGCCTCTCAAGGGCCCTTGGCAAACAGAGAGGAGTCCTCAATGGGTGCTGCGGAAGTTTCGGAACGTTAGGATTCAAGAGGTCTTTTGCTTTTGTTTGGAGGGGCGATGACCCACGGTGCTCCATGTTGCTCCCAGGCGTCCTACAGCCAAGCACTGCATCCCTCTTCCCCCACGCTGGTGATCTTAATGGACTTCAACCAGGTGTCCTGAATTTTTTTTCCCTATGTGATCAATTTTTTTATTAAAAAATTTTTTTTAATAGTGAGACATCATGAGGTACAGTTGCAGACTTACACATTTTTGTGCTTGGGTTTCAATTATATAATGATCAAATACCCATTCAAACTCCGCTCTCCGCACAGATGCTCTGTAGGCTGTCTCTCTAACCTTGGGCCAAGCGTGAGGGCCTGAAGTGCTGAAACTTGGGATTCTTCTGTTTATGCAATGCTGAGGTGTTCTTTTTCCTTTACGATGCACTTTGATTTTTTTGCAAGGGGTACCTTCCAGAGAAGAGAATTGCTACTGGGGAGGTTAAAAGGGGATCAGGAAACATTGTTCAGTGTTTCTGAAGGGATATGTATGAATGACGAATCATGTACCCTTCCGAGTAGAGAAAAAGACAGACGTAGCATCTCAAGTGGCATGGCTTCTAGCCCGAGCACCTAAAATGTTCAAAAGCAGTAGCAGCTAGTCTCAATTTTCACAATCACAATCACAACCATCCTGTTATTCATCGATTGCCTCGAGCAGGCACCAGTAACGTCTCCTTCGTCCTAGCCCTGAGATTTTTTTTAAAAGTGCCATATTCAAGGCTCTTTCAGGGCTAGGAGAATGAGACCCATCCTTGTTACTGGTATTTGGCATCTTGGGTACGCCACGGGGAGTTTGCCAGACTCTGCCGTGTGGGCAGGTTACATTCGGTAGCCTGCCAGTTTGTCATCTCAATTTTAAGAGACTCAATTATTTCCAATACACATCAGAAGGGGGGTGGGGGGTGTTTCCTTGTTTTCTGTACTGTGATTTGTGTTGGTGACTTTATTTACTTTCTTTCCATTGAGATGCTTTCGGGTTCAAGGAACAAAACATCCAATGCAAAGAGACTCCAACAGGTATTTTCCGATCCCAAAGCAAAGACGGTTCTGTATGGCGCCGTGATGTCTCTCTTCCAATTCTTCTCTGCCATCCTAAGGGGCATCCTCTGTCCCTCGACACGGTATTGGCCGTAGGCATCACGTGCTGCCCTGAGTCTGAGAAAGCGGCTGGGCCTTTACACTTTCTCCCTGTGGAGGAAAACTTTCTCAGGATCTCCTAAACAGCTTTCCCACCGCCTCCGGTCCTATTAGCCACGATGGGGCCACGTGCCCACGTTCTGCCCGCCAGGGAGCTGGGAAGGGGATGCTCGTGCCTCTGCAGCCTTCGGAAGGGGGCGCTGAGCTCTGACAACAAGAAGGATGCTGGAAGGGGTGGTGGAGCAAGGGGAGCACCCCCACCCCCAAGGGGAGCATGTTCCCAGGCAGCCTGACTGTAGTCTCAGCACAGCGAGAGAGCAAAGGGGCACCCCGCCGTCTTCCTCTTTAGAATGTCCCCATTGGCACAGCAGATTCCTATTTTGTTTTTGGCCGGAGGTGACTGTCACCTCGGCCCATGGCTTGGTCCCCACCACCCGTTCCGCTGAGCCTACTGACGAAGGAGTGGCCCCTGCAGCTCTCTGCATTTGGCTCCAGCCTTCTGATCTGGGGGAGGGTGGCAGTTGGGGGCCGACGTGTGAAGACCCGTCCTGCTGGCTGCCAAGACGTCACGGTCGATGCCATCACTGCCAGGGTGGCTGCCCTAACACGTGGGCATGGTGGGACAAAGCCTTCGGGGACCCGCGTTCCTGCTCACAGTTTGCAAGGAGGCGGCAGCGCGCTATTTCGGGCCCGGCCGCGTGGGCAGAGCTGCAGACTGTGCAGAATGGCCTGCAGCTCCCCGGAGTTTCTTCAGGGCATGTCCTGTTTGCTTTCCAGGACGCCGAGTGCCTTTGATGGTCCCCAGAGCTGCCTCGCTAGCCGGAGGTCAGCCTGCCTCTGGACTTCAAAGACGACTGCCTCTGTCACAGCTCTTGGAGCACTTGGACCTGGGCTCTGCTGGGAACCTGGAGAGAATTTGGGACCTGCCTCTCCTGGGATCACGGTTATGGAACATGCCTCTGCTCCTGTGCTATGTGACCTGTATCAAGTGGCTCAACCTCTCTGTGCAGGGCATGAGTATTCATCACCTGTGAGGAGCAACAATGAGTGCAGAAACACCAACTCCTGACTCATTCCATTTCTCACGCAAACCGATTCCTAAATTACAGACCACAGATGAAGACATTGACCCACCAAAGCCCATGAAGCCAGGCATGTTCGTGTACTATTAGACCACCCAGTATGCAGAGATACCCCTGAGAGTCCCAAGCCCTTCATTTGCTGCATATTGGGTGGGCCCAGGTGTCACATGGAGAGTACAGAAGAAACTCCAATAGGGCAACGAGAAAAAAAATCCAGACAGCTCAATGGGAAAATGGGAAAACATGGATACAGGCATTTGGCATGAGAGAAAATAGAAATATGTGAATATTTCTAGTTTATCAAATCAGAAAACACTAAGCTTCAAGGTGAACCATTTTATACCTGCCTGCTGAACAAAAACAAGATTAAAAAAAGAACCGTAGACTTGACTGCTTTGCACAGAGATAAATACATTTTGTCTGTTTCTTTGCATTTTGGCGGTGCTCAGGGCTTACTCCTGGCTCTGTGCTCAGGGATCCCTCCTGGTGGAGCGATTTGGGATGCCGGGGATCAAACCAGGTTGACTGTAGACAAGGCCGGCACTGCATCTGCTGTACTATCATTCTGGCCCCATGAACAAATTTTTTATTTAGATACAACAAACATATGTTTGACATACAGTAGCAAATGCCACTGTCTGGGTAGCTCAAAGCACCAGAAATTTCTCAATTCCTGAATCCCTTCTGGAGGCTGGGCAGGGAGAGGTCACAGCGTGGGCTGCCTTCTGAGTGCTCCTGGCAGAAAGGACTCACGCAGAGCCTGGGGTAAGGCCCCTTCCCAGGCATGATGGTCCTACCTCCCAGAGGCCCCTCTTATGCCACCAATCCCCACGCTTCCTTTGGGGGGGGGGGAAGGGATGGAATCATATCTTCACACATCTTCAAACTGTAGCACACACAAAAATCGGTAAGAAGGTGGAGCAAAGGAGTAGGGCCTGGGGTCGGAGCAGTTATATGGTGTCCGGAGGGCATTTTGCCTTGCACATAGTTGGCCCAGGTTTGATCTCTGGTGCCCCACATGATGCCCCGAACACTTCCAGGAGTGACCCTGACCACAGAGCCAGGAGTGAGCGCTGAGTCATACTGGGTGTGGCCCCCAAACCAAGACCCGAATCCAGAAAACTAAAGAGAACTAGGTCCAGTGCCAGGCGGCCCTGCAACGGACACAGTGGGGGGTCTCGGCCCCCGCCATAGAGTGCTGAGTGCTTCTGGCAGAAAGGACTTGGGGTCACGCAGAGCCTGGGGTAAGGCCCCTTCCCAGGCATGATGGTCCTGCCTCCCAGAGGCCCTCTTCCACCACCAATCCCTACACTTCCTTTGGCTTATTCTGAGATGCTTCCCTGCCTCACTTGCTCAGCTCCTCCCTCCCTCCGCATCTGCCCTCCAGGCTTCCTGACATTGGACAAGGTCCCCCACTCCGCCTCAGGCTGGGTCTCCCTGAGGGCACCCCGACTTCCCTCCCCTCTCTCCAATCAGATCTCCTGCCCCACGATCACGTCCCTACAGTCATGGGCCTCTGAGAGGGGCTCTGGGCTAAGGCATGATGGGACAGATTCTCTCTGGCTTCCTCAGTGGACCCTGCCGGGGCTGCTTCTGAATCCCAGGGACTTCCCCATCTGAGGACCAAGAGCTGGGCACACGGAGGTCGCTGTCAAAGCCATTCAAAAAGCACCAGCAGGAGACCGGAGAGATGGTGCAGGAGGGAAAGCTCTTGCCCTGCTCGTGGCAGATCCGGGTTCCATCCCTGATACCGCACAGGGGTCCCCGGGCACCTCCAGGAATGATTCCTGAGCACAGAGCCAGGAGTAAGCCCTTAGCTCTGGCCAGGTGTGACCATATCTCCCCGGACTCCCTCCCCATTTCAAAAAAAAAAAAAAAGCAAAAACTTCAGGGAAGA